TAGTATCTAAAATGTTCACGGCCTAATGCATACAACTAAAAATACTATAGCTAGTTATGTTATTTATCCATTATTTTTTAAAACCTAATGTTAGTGTAATCATCTTACTGTTGTATATGTTGTTAGCATATCTTCTGCGTGTTTTTATACAATGAAATCAATGACTAGTATAGTGGCTTAACAATATAACAGCCACAATTTTACATATGCTATCTTGCTAACAGCTAGCCACATGGCTTTTTGCTAATAAACCAACCAAATCACTAACAAGTTGCATAAATGCAGTAACACAGCATGCAACATGCCTGGGTATTTTGGGACACAAAATGAGAGAGATAATGGAAATGTTGTCAGGGTTGCTTCTATTCACTTAAAATGAAATGGTGAAAAGTTGATTTTTAGCATGCTAGCCTGCTAACGTTGGTAGCAGCTTGCTAATTACAGTGAGAGCTAAACATTGTTTTATAATCGACAAAAACTATGTTAATTAAATACTTCGCCATCTAATTCAACTACACATTTGTTACAGTTTGAACCACTAAGTTAGTAATGGCACTGAAGCACTAGAATGACAACTGAAATTTCTTTAAAAACATCTATTTAAAATGGAGAAAGCACCCAACTACTTACCACAGCTAGCACCTGTATTTCTGCCATACGTCACCCACAATTACGTTATATAAAACAAAATCCTTAAACCCTATACTTGCATCAAAATAAAAGCACCATTTACATGGTGATTGGTTGTCCCAATGTAAGCAAAAAGTTAAAACCACATTAAACTTAATTGTTAATTGTTTACTCTAATGGCAATCCGAACTGTCACACTAACGCTAATTAGAAATATCAGAATTACAACTGTAAATCTCAGAAATTCTAAATGTAGTTCTAAAACGCAGAGTGAACAGTTAAACATGGATTAAACACAATATTGCAATTATTCTAAGGAAATTAGTGAAATTATAAAATGTATGACCATAATACCCAGTGGAAATGTATTGCATTGGTTGTGTTTGATTGGAGATGCATATTTAATGTGTGACGTATATCATCTATATCCTTTGTCTGGTCTTAAAACGATTGCTACTCACATTGCTTTTGTTTTGGTTTTCCCTTAACTATAAATGTCACGGACATAATAGAAAAGTCCACTCCACTTTGGTAACAGCACTCAGAAACACAATGCCTGCTGGGTCAGCACTCACTTTTAAGCCAGGATTTTAACTGCATCATTATTGAGGGAGCGTTGGAGGGCCAAACAGCCGCTCCCCTCCGCTGAAATTTGGCTCTCTCAGTTCTAGGACAGCCTTTACACACCATGGCCGCTTATGCAATGGATCAGCATGATTGTTAATGTGTAGGTTGAGGGAATAAGAGGCGAAATTGGTACCAACGGCCCACTCCACCATCATTTTCCGTTGACTGCTTTGTTAATTGTAATAGCAATATGCTTTTCACCACTTTATGTGTAAACTTACATTCACAGATATAAAAATTATTTTCCAGATACACAAGTAATGCCTTACAAGTAGAAATGATAAAGTCAAATCCGTACCTTCGCATGGATTTCTACTGGTTTCAACTGATATACTGCCCACCCTTAGTTCAGACCTCATTAAGACATAAAACAACCCGAATCAAGGATAGCCTGGGTTTCTTGAAAAAAAGGAGGAAGGTTTCTCTTAACATTTTATAAAATTGCTCAGAAATGCCCGCATAATTTTGCAGAAGATTTGTTCATGCAAATGCAACCATATGCAACCATAGAAAAAAAGTTAATATCGTACTCTGGTTATCTGGCCTTTTTTTTTTTTTCAAAATTTCCCCCTTCTATATGTGCATGTCTGGGTTCCTGTGATATGTGTGTTTGCTGTATTATGCTTAAAAAATTCATACAAACTGTTCACAAAAACTGAAACACTGTATACATTTTCTATTACTTATTTTATTTACTGACTCATTTCGTGCTTCAAGTTAACATCAGATAACATGCAGTTTATCATTTAAACAACATATCTCATTGTGGGAGTGGCAGACGGAGACTGCCCCAGATAAAATCTGAAACATTTGGAAGCTTCATCTCATAGCAACAGATCCTGATAAATGTACACCATGTTCCTGAAATCTCACACTTTATCTTCCCAGACGGTAGTGGTACAGTCATTGAAGCCCTTCCAATATTAGCCAGAAGTTCAAAAATAGAAACCTGTCACATGAAATCAATAATGCCACTTGAAAGTGACAGCGTGTGTGTTGGCAGCTAGAGTCCTTCTTGGATTATCGCTGCGCTTGCCAGCTGCTCTGATTGGTTACTGATAGTGTCCAGTCATCTAAAACTCAAGGGAACTGACTTGACCACTACCAAGGCTACACCGAGGATTTGTATGAGGAAAGAAGAACACAAAAATAACATGCACAACAAACATTAAGTAGCACTCTTTTCATATGATATGTTGAACTCCTATAGAAGTAGTTATATACTGTAACAAATAACCCTATTGGAGTACCTTTTAAGCCTTACAGCGCTAAATTTGTTGCAGGATCCTCTCCTCATGAGCTGAACAAGCATATATATATGATTTTTCATTTAGCATCACATTATTATTTATTCTTTTAATAATAAACATGTTCTTCATATATTCTTTGAATAAAATATACATGAATCTCAAAAATGTTAAAACATATCAAAGTAATCGTTCTATATTCCCACTATAAGCTAAATCGGTAAATATTTAATTATAATTAATGAAATAAATGAAGCATTGAAGTGAGGCACAGGATTTCCAAATGCAATGATGCTTTTACTGCAGCAAACAGGAAAGCATCCCATTCAGATGGGTAACATTACTGACAGTGAGTTTGTTTGTTTTATTGTAACATAGTTATTCCGCACAGAGGTATGGTGTTTTTACTAGAAGGATAGACCGTCCTTTGGCTCATGTCCAGCCACCCACACACAGATCGCTTGCTTTTTTGGAAAGGTGCACCACAAATCAACGCAGCAGCACCGGAGACAGAAGAGTGAATTTATACTTTAATGTATGCGATATCAAATGGCCATGTTTGCATATTGAACAGGCCGCTCCAGGAGGTGGGACAGCAAACCCCACAGACCAGGGATTTCCAAATCCAAGTGTGAAAGGAACTCTCTCTCTCTCTCTGTCTCTCTCTCGGTCTGTCGCTTCCACCAGCTGTCTTCATAACATGTGTTCCCCCTGGTCACCGCACTGGTCTTATTTCAGCTTTAAAAAATATGGCTGTCTTAAGAATTGCTGTCTAATTTCTGTATTTTTTCCCCTTATAATTAGGCTCTCAGAGATCAAATTCACAATTAAACGGATCAACAAATCTTTAAATCTCCTGCAGATCATCCATGTGCCGAATATTCATTAGAGACAAGCAGTAATACTGATTCTACAGAATATGTACAATTTCTCACACATCTATAAAATCCCGGTTTCTTTTGTTGGTGGTCACTGAGGGTAAGGGAAGACTGTCTTCCTGGTATCTTGGTCCAGTGACAATACTAGGGGCAGTATGTTGGCATATCCTCCAATCAGAAGGTGCAAGCAAGTACGCACTCAACCCTGACGCATTTGTTGCGCTCTGCTCACTCTGCAGTCCCTGCTGAGCTGCACAGTCACTTTGTTGGAATTCACTTTGTGAGCAGCCGTTTATTTTACCAGCAGAGATAGTGTATGTTAAGACCAGAGCAGTTCTTTGGAAATGACCCCCCCCCCCCCTCCTCCTCCTCCTCCTCCTCCTACCTCCCTGGAAAAAGCCAATTTTGTGCTTTCTAGTGAAGCCCCTTGCCACCATCAGTGCAGGCACAATTAGGACCCCACACAACAGCTTCTGTTGCATATCGCACCCCAGTGTATTAACAGGATGAACCAGCGGCCACTATCCTCATGAAGACGGCATGCTCTCTTCCCATAATGCACTCTTCTCATTCAGTCTATAAGCTGAACTTTTGGAAAGACATGAATCTTAGGAAGGTATTTCATGTGCAGCTTATCGAGCGAACCAGACCCCTTCCTGGTGAGCGATTGGGCAATCGCATCCCTGCTGATTACGCCCCTCCTCCTTCCCTGAGCAATGCTATGGCTAATTACATAACATGGGGCTGGGCGACCAACACTAGTCACTAATATCACACTTTGGATTTCATACCAGACTGTAGAGCCCAACTCCATCACTATAACAGTGCCTAAACGGTTCATTGGACTTGTTCTGATTTTTTGCTGTAAATAACATCCTGTAATTATGAAATGGGGTTTCTGCAATGGTACACTTATTGTTCCAAGTATGTCAGTGGAAATATTAGTAACTGGACCATTTATGTCAGTTTACTGACCTCTCTCCTTAATGATTTCCCATATACCATGCTGTCTGTTGTTGCGTATAGTACAAATGAAGCGTAGCTATCTGGTTCAAAAAACCACCATGCAAACGAAGTGGAAATTACTTTTCCAACTAGTGTTTCAAAGCCCTCCGTTACCACCCTCTGCTTCCATTTTTGAGTATTTCTTCAGGTAAAACTGCAGGGAGTCTTTAGCAGGATGAGCTAACACCCACTGGTTTTTGTCACTATTGAGGGGTACTATCTCTATCAATTACCGCTATCATAATGTAATTCTAGTGGCAGAATAATTACATGTTGAACTGTGAACGGTTGAACTGCCAGCTTATGACCTCTATGAACCCAGCCAGCCTGTCATCTCTCTCTGTAACCAGTAGAAAGCAGATATCCCTCCTCAGAAGTTTGTTTCCACAGTTCCCCTCTGTCTGGGATGATTATATTGATGCACAAGATTTTTTTGGTTCAGCCCTGGATCCAAAGACTTATTTGCCCAGATGACCACCTCCCTTACAAAATGAAAGTACTAGATAATCACTGAAAGTTGCCTGCAGTCCTTTCTACAGTTGGAAAGGCAATCCTACCATGGGCCCTCATGCCTAGTACCTGTTTGTGTTCCAACCTATGTGCTGAAAAGGAAAGCAGTGTAGCATAATGGTCAGGGTGTTGGTCTTGTGCCTCAAAGGTTACAGGTTCAGTTCCCACTCTGAGCTGCTTTTGTGGTACTTCACCTGAAATAAACTAATAAATGGAAAGTGTATAACTGTAAATTACTCTGGATGAATCTGAATGCAAAACTGCATAGTAATTTCCACATATGGGTAAATCCCCAATGATATTCAGAGGAGGTGACTCTTTCGGACTTAATGTGCATGTAAAAATATCAAAATCACAACTGTCTTTAACTATTATTGGCTGTCTTGTTGGTGACCACCACAGACATGTATAATTTTGCTTTGGATGAGCTTTACAAATATAACTCTTGTGTTTCATAATTTTTGCTAAAAATTGCATATGTTTAATTGCATATGTAACGTTTTTTGGGAATCTCCTGATTGACTGTGCATCTATGCATGACTACAGACACAGTAGGTTTCCTTTTCCTGCTATCCTACTGAGCCCAATCTGACTTTGGCGAGGCCAAAATATGGCAAGCTACATTAGCACCAGGTTGTTGGTTGTTAACTGCTTTACTCTCCCAGAGGCTAAATAACATTTCCATAATTGTTTTCAAATGTGTCAATCATATTTGTTTTCCAAATTCATATTGCATTTTATAATGATAAGCTCAGAAAAATATAAAATACATACTATATATACAATAAAATATATACCTCCATAATCTGATTGTGCCACATTAATGGGTTTTCCATGGACCTAAATTATCAATTACTGAATTATCTAACATTTAACATCAATGAATGAATACAATTTAAATTGCAAAATGTTCCCCAAAGGAACAGGATGTGGATCTTGTTTTCCTCATGCAGAAAATCTTCACACTAAGTATTCTATTTGCTCAACACTGACCCCTGCTGGCTGGAAAGACCACACATACGCCATAATCAGTCCGAGGCATCATAATGCAAGAGGTCAGCAAGCAGTCAAGGATCATGCAGACCATCCAAGACAAAGACATCCAATACAAGATCGAGTGACGTGTAACCTCCGTCACGTAGCATCTACAAACAACGTCTAATGTCTTTGCTTGGTTTACTTAACACATATCTCTATGTCTATGAATAATAAAAAAAATGAGCTATCCTGGCTAAAAATCCCACGTAGTTATTTTAAGACAGTTAAATACTTAAACATTTCGCCCATTTTGAATGGTTGGGTTGGTCTCTGAAGATACATTTCAAGTTGAGAACAAGTGACTTTGGAATCTGTGGAACTCTATGTGATGATCGCGACATTAATACTCTGCCTGTGGACATACACTGGATACCGTAAGACAACACCCAATGCTGACCTGACCTTCTTATGCTGAGTTACAAACACCTTCGTTCTACCGCCCATAGCTTAGTGGGGTCTCAAGTTATAATATTCTAGTTCCACAGTTAGTATAGGCAGAGGAAAAGTATTTTTTGTGGAATCAATATGTCCAACATGATCCAGCCATGTCCCGTTGGTCCTGTAAATAAAACTTTAATGTCATTCTCGCCGAAATTTTATGGGGTTACATCTCTCTCAGTACATTTCAGACAGAGTTCAGTGTGTTCTTGCCCTACAGCTGCTAATATATTGGCTATCTTTCTGTTACCAATACAGCTATCCATTACCATTATAAAATGACCGCTTAATAATTTTGGCATGACGTTAGGATTGATGGAAACTGAGTGTCTGATTGGATTGGTTGGAATTTCTGAGGTAAATTATCGTCTTATTTGGTAACACCAAACTTCATTGTCTGTTAGCGCTTATCCTGAATTACCAAACAAACCCTCAGGGGAAGTCCTGACATATCTAGGACAATCTTGGTGATGAAAGGTTTTTGCTCCATTTTGGCACCCAGTGACTGTAAATCTGTAAAACATTTTTTTCCATGTTTTAATACATTATTTCCAGTGTCTAAATCAATATTTGTGAAGCTCAGAGGTTGCAAACAGTGACCACAGAAGTTGATACCAGTGCCTCAGCTAACAAGTTCTGGAGATCTGCTTTGGTACCTCTGGTTGTATATACTTTTTTATATATATACTTTTATCCAAAGCAACTGTATACATTATGTATGTATGTATGTATGTATGTATGTATGTATGTAAAATGGAACATGACCTACCTTTTCACACCTTTGTATAGGCTGTCTCTCCCACTCACTTGGAACATGGTTTTCGAAAGAAACACTGGAATTAAATGAATGCTTGAATAAAAAGGTGGAGGTGGTTAGGAACCAGTGCTATAACATGCACAATACAGTTATACTAAGAGTAAGAATAATAATAATAACAATTAACTTAAAAAGTCAGTGGTTTCACGTTTACACTGAGCGGATGCTAATTTGATCTACCGATCTGATTACACTTATGTGGGGGAAATGGGCGCCTGATGACAGCCAGCTGAGTGTATGTTCAGCTGCTGAAGGATAAATTAATCTGATGAAGTGGGTGTAACAATGGCTCCCTCTGGTGGCCAGCCATCAGAAAATAAAAACTGGTGATGGGAAAACGAATGTAATAAACTGTTATTACCGTTGCATCGTCTTTCCCAAAATTAAATAGCAGGGTTTTGGAATGCGAGTAATTACTTGAAACTTATTTCCTATTGAGAGCATGTCATCTTGGCATTAAAGCAACGCTGTTTCACTCGAAAGCAAGGCTTGAGTTTTAAAAGCAACACTCCTCAACATTTGTATTCCTGGATATCGGTATGTTTGTTTTTGATCCACACAGCACAGTCAAGTCGTCTAATACGTCCATGTTGTTTGCGAGTTTCTGGTTTTAAAATATGTGGGCTGCAAGTGAAAAGCATTTTAATTAGTTTTCGTTGTGGTAAAGCCCACGACAAATATACCGTGACACACACAAAGTTGCTGGGTAAGTGAATAGCATCAGTTGTTTTTGCTGCAAAACGTGAAAATACTATGACGATATTGGAACATTGATATTTCCAATCTGTGCCAAGTTATCTCAGAATTTCATGGTAGACAAAGTAATGGGGAAAACCCAAAACAGCATATGAATAGTTATCTTCAAGTAAAGAACTTGTCTTCAGAACAGATTCAGTCTGTCTTGAAATGCTGCAGCACACATTTTGAGATATTAATAGGTAGGATATTGGACAATTTTTCCAAAAATGAAAGCTTCCAGATCTTGGTGAATGGGACATTGAAATATACTTCATTTCAGAACTTCCCATGCAGGTTAAATGTTTAGATCTAGTTATCTGGATGTTGGAATTGTTTGGATAGTGTTTGATTTCTGTGTAGGTAGTGTTCGTGAAATTAATTTTAATTAGTGTGTGTAGGGCATTGACTTGAGAGAACAAAGACCATAACAATGTTCTTTAATAAATAAATAACTATATTTATGAAAGAAAGTTAGCAACCCCAACACCCCGTGTGGAAAAAGTCATCTTGAAAAAAAAAAAAACATCCTACAGGATTCAAGTTAGTTCTTGACACTGTAGCTAGCATTTAGTCACTCAAGACACTGTATATAATTTCATATTACATATAACATTATCACCACATAAAAATGATACAGCTTCCGCCATCTGTTGTTGTTAGGCTGTATTTTATTAGCTGTCCGCTTGAAAATTAAGTACAAGCCTTGAGGTTAAATTAAATGTCACTTTAATAAATTAACAAGGTTGTCGGCTACTATTTGAATTTGACTTTTGAGAAAAGCGAAAATACCTAATCTAGATACACGATTAACATTATCTTGCAAGATAGAGACCACATCTAGATATATGGTGACGATTAAACATGAAGAAAACTTCCTGGTCTTCACCAAAGTTACGTGCCTCTTTACGGGATGTTAACTGCCAGTGCAGTTTTATTTTCTTTAATTTTACACATTTATCGGAGACACCCTTAATACAGAACCTCTCATGTCGCATACCATATTAGAAAGAAAACATGCAAGTAACATTCATTCAGGATGGATTTTTAAACGTATTAGTTTGTAAGTGAAAGTAATTAGCTCCTAATACCGCACCTCTGACGAAGTTCTCGTTCTATGACCCGGTTATAATGGGATACGCTGACATACAACTTCAAACAGTTCCTGTTTCCTTTCTGATTTTCCATTATCCGAGAACAGCTGAAAGTCTTTGTCCACAAATATCATCTTTAAGTCATCACAAGCGAAATGTAGTCGTAGGACAGGTTTTATTTTTTTGGAGAAAAATGAAAGGGTCACCGTTTACTTTTTGATATGCAAGTACCTGGTTAATCTTCCTACAAGACAATTCATCGTACATACAGCGGCCTGAAATTCAGACTGTCATTTTGCTTGGTAAGTACAGTAGTAGTTTTTAACTACCGTTTTTGAGTTATGCATGAGTTGTAACAATGTGGGAAGTTACAGTTTTGACATTAGCCTACTTAATTGCACTGACAGTGTTATTTTGGGATGCAGTTAGTCACGATATCTACAATGAGGGTAATGTAAACTGATAGCCAACTTAACGTTGCAGTAGGCAATAACTACTGCTCATAAATTCTGACCCGAATGGTGCAATGGACAAATTGAATTACCCTCAACAGTAAATCACTTTTCCTGCTCAAGATAAAGGTAAGTAGGTTACTTGTATTGAGCGAGACCGGCATTGACTTGCACTACATTGATTTACACAGAGTACAATACACACATTACATTGAAATAATGAGTACACAGAGTAAAATTAATTTGCTGAATTACAGAAATATTTCGGGTAATGGTACATCCCATTAGGTTGACGAGGGACTGATGTTAGTAGTTCCAGACTGAAATGCTTAACAATCTGGGCAAATGTTTAGAAATGTCCTAAACGGTTAAACTTTAATTTAGCACATTACTTGTATTTGAGTAAAATAGTTATCTGACCGGAGTTACATACTGTGTATAGGTAGCGTTTAGTATTTTTTTTTTTTATATATAAAAGCAGAGTGCATTTCATAAATGTTATAACGCCGATGTGTAAAAGGCTACTTTAAAATAATCTGTTTAAACGTTAAGTAATTTGGAACGTATTTAACAACCGTAGTTGATGATGCATTATTCCATCCG